TTATTTTAAACAACTTTAAGAAAAAACTTTTATCCATAGAGCTCATTATCACAAATAAACCAGACAGAAACAATACAATGTAGACAAAAAATTAGCGAACAATAATTGTTAAGCTAATTTCAAATAACACTTTTCTCATGAATAAGAATAATGTCTATTTTTAGGAAATTTGTTTTGTTTTAATCATCTATGGGTAAACTGTTTGTTTGAAAACAAAATTATTATTAGCCAACAATAAAAACAATTTTCTAGTAGAATATAAAAGAAATATTCAAAGTCTTGTAAAATATGTAAATGATTGAAAAAAAAACTGTTTTGAGTATTTCATCGGTCCATAAATCAACTAAATTATTCAATCAAAAATAGAATTTCCGTAAACCAGAGTATGAATGTAATGAATGAGAACTCAGGTGAGGACAATCGATTGTATTTGGATATAAAATTACAGAATCTCTTGGTAAAATATGAAAACCATACACTGAGATAGTGGGGAAGATTTTTAGAAGCTTAGCACTCAGGTCAATCAGCAATAAACAAACATATTGAAATCGATGCAATTTATCAACCAATCAGAAAAATTATGCAGAACCATAGGAACTAAAATCAAACCAATGGGAGATACAAACAAAAAAAGAAGTAAACAATTATAGATTGAAAGTCAACAAGAACCAATCAACATTGATGTGTACAGGACAAGCTGTGAACCACATGTGGAGAAATTTGATTACTTCACTTCGAACTGAAGTTTGTTTTGATGACATCGTTTAGAAGAACGATGAAAGCTCCACGACTAAACCACCCAGCTCAGAGAACAAAACTCTATCAAAACCATATTTCATCTGCGAATTTCCATCATCTGTCCACATTTTGTTTTCTATTTTCCCTTCTATTCTCTTCAACTCGATCTTCTTAGCCTTCTGCCGCCAGGTTTTCCAATTCCCATTGGTGGTACATACTGCCTATGTCTGCTAACCTAAGTAGCATACACCACATATATAGTACACGTTTTGATGTTTTGCTCTCAGTTCAATACAAATGGCATGGGGAAACAACCCACAACTAAGATTATGAACAGTCGTCATCTCTTTGGTTAATGGCTATCATGTGTGAGCTACTCTCAAACACTAGCATCACAGTATACCATACTAGCCAACTTAAAAGTATGTTTGAAAAAGGAGTACTGAAATACATTGAAAGGTGAGAACTTCCTAGTTGTGTCTCCGGAGTACTAATCATGTGTGACGATTTAACTCAATTGTCTGATGGATAATATGTTAGGATTTAAAGCACTGTCCGATTTGTATTGTTTACATATTATTCTTCATTCTCATTAAGCTATTCTCATGAACTTCAGTCTTTTTCCGGTAACTAGACCGAATGAAATCCTTTGATACTTTTATCCACATATTATTTCATTGTAGTTAGCTTATGTTTGTTTATTCAAATAAAAGAAAGTCAAATATTTCTACTTAACAGTTGGATGTAAGTATATTTGTTTGTAAATAACGTTATCTTAGGAATAGAGTTGCTTAGTTAACAGCTTATTTCCTAGGTGATAATGAACAAACAATCAACATATCATAGCACAATCGATGAAATAATACATGGGATAAATTGAAACGAAAGATTGATTCTTCTAGCATGATTGTAATATTTTCTAATTAAATTCTCATTATATAAACAATAGGTAAACAATCATCATAATTCGTTTTCCCAACAGACTTGGAATGTTAGATACTTTAGGTTGTACATTGTAGAATATTTATTGAAACGTAAAAATAAATCAAAACTCCAAGATTTGGTGCGATTTCATATGATTTTCCTATTTTGATAACTTAGCCGTTAAAAAGGTAATGTCACCAAGTAACAGTAGCGTTTGAAGTAAGGATCTTAGGTCCTAGTTTAATCATAAATATCAGTAGTGTAAATTAGCTGATGAGCAACAAAAGGAAAGAATTGCTTGTTTTAACTTCTACTACTAATTACTATCTAGAAAATCTAACTGTTGGAGAGATCCAGAAAACTCCTCAAAAAATCCAGTCTCTGAAAATGCTGAGAAGCATCTTGTCCAATCAGCAATAAATAGAAATTTTGCCATAAACATCTAAAAAGTGAAAGGTCACATGTTTAGTTCCTGACTGGATAATTTCCTATGTCGTAGCGTTCTAGAATTTTCCGGGAACACAAGGCCATCTGAATTACTATAAAAAATCCTAGATTTTCTGCACATAAATGAACCTTTGGAGTAAAGCAGTTCTTCCGTATTTCGCGCCTTTTCTCTTGTGTTCAAGTTGCTGTGTAGATTTAACCTTGTGGTTACTAAAAGAGTTTAGGAACAGAATATAGAAGACTTATTACTAACAAAGGTAAAATAACAGGCATTAGTTGAAGAATCATATTCACCAACAGAAACTGATCAAATCTGGTCTTGAATATCAACAAAAGAAAAAACGCCAGTCCTTACAAATAATAATCATAGATTAACTTGTGAATTAAATGCAAGTAATCACTAGAATTAATAGACATTTCAAGGTTTCTAGTCATGACAAAGTTTCTCAGAGTTAGTTATTATCAGTTTATCTTATGTGAAATACACTTTTTCAATATTTAATGAAAATACTTTTACAATAAACTTTACTGTATTATACTGAACCATATTGCTTTGATTAATTAAGGAATACAATGAATATTTTGATTCTGAAGGATATACTTATCTTCACTTGGTGTTATTTTACTTTTATTTTCCTATTGTTATTTAGGACTGCAATTGATCAGTCTCATGTTGGCATATGTGCATCCTGTGCGGATTGCCTTGATATAGCCTTGAGTCACAAGCTTTTTAAGGAAAGATGGATAGTGGCTAGCAATGGAATCCATGACGCGCGTTTCGTCCTAAGTGGACAACGCGATAGCGTTGATTGTTCGTGTGAAATATCAGTTACTTTGACTGAATGAACATTTTATGTTAATGATAGATCAGATTTCATCTTTCTTTCTCCACAGGTTCTGTCAAGTAACTAATCTACCCTAGGTTATCTAAATCGACCTAGAATATGATGATATTGTCCAATCATATAGAACATACTGTTTACCATTGGTTTTCATTTTTCTACTTATGCATTAGTACATATTTGTAAATAAAATACAGTTGATTTGCAACTATAGCAAGTTATTTTTACAGAAAACAAAACATCGTTTAAATAAAATAAAAGGTTAATAATACATTTATTTTTAGAATGAACTGACCCTATTTGACTTTTTACAAAGCATTAATAGGTGTTTACCAACTGTTGAAATCTGGATACAGTGAGTGACAAATTTCAAAATTCAACCTCCAATAATCAGCTTATTGTTCGATATTCCAACCGGTTTCAAAGTGTCTTTAGTTTCACAGAATAATCATTTGAGTTTTATACTTTACTGTTATATGTATTGACTAGATGGAAATGACAAATTAAACCTTTCTGAATTTTATTTGAAGCAGATAACTGTAATATCAATAGATTCATCATTACGTTACTCGTGGTAAAAACGTTCATCTTTTTGCTAACGTTCATGAATTATTGTTCTATTTCTAAATGTTATCACTTATATCACCACAAAAATTAATTTATCTTGGTTGGAAAGGGGAAGTGAGCGAAGCAAGATGAAGAGCAGTGGAGGCTTGTGAGCCGACTCCACTTGATCAGGCGTTAATCAATATTTATAGCCAGATAAAAAATAAGTTACAGACATGTGATGAATAGGATAAAAAGTGTAGACACATACGCTCATATAAAAACAGACAGGATTGATAAGTGAATAATTAACAAGGTCAAAACGTGACTCAAGAACAACGGATAAACTGGACTGTCCAGAAGCTAGAATAAGGGCTTCTTCAACATTAATAACTGTGCAAATTAAACATAACATCAAGCATTCCATATCTTCATTCAGCTGGATAAAAATTATCAGTTAGAAATCTATTGATAAACAAGGTTATATTTAAGATATTTTGTTTTGTCTATAGGTGAACAGAGCCAAAAATTCAAATAATGTCTATTGAACTAAAAACGATAACATATTCCACTTGTTTTTATTATTACATTTTACACTGTTTATAGATTTGTTACTATGACTAAAAATTTATTGTGTATATTAAATATTCAATATAAATAAGTGATCAGGAAGGAAATTGTCTCCTCGGAAAGCATGTAAGTGTAACACTTGCATGCCTCTACATAGCTTAGCATAGTTATATTTTATAAAATAACCGAGATCGAACCTGTACGCTACAAAATAACACATTATGTTGATATTTCAACGATACTCTGTGAGGAAACTTAGATGACAAGACATTCACGCAATTAGTTTTAACAATTATAAAGTATTAATATTTGAAATCCCTCCCTAAAATATTATGTTCAGTGATGTTTTAGAGGATCATAACTTATCACTCCATTAATTTCCCATGTTATTTCGTGAAAACCAAAGTAAATAAATATGAAAAACGAAAGTTTTCATTGTGATAAAAATATATTAGACGCTTTTATTAAAACATGAAAGAGAATAAACTAGTGGTTTAGTTGACTTCACCACTTTATATTTATCATAGAATTTTACAACTTAACAGAAATTTATTTAATCATGAATCAGAGAGGGGGTTTGTGGATATTATAGTAATTTCAGTAGTTGAGATCATGAATCAATTGAAGCTAGATCACCATGGAAAACCTGGAAGTACTGGACTGCGTTTCGTTCTAGTATGGGCTGTTCAGTGCTTACAGATTTCTCATGATGATCTAGCTTCAATTAACTCATGATCTCAACTATTGAAATTACTATAATATCCACAAACCCCCTCTCTGATTTATTATTAACCAGTTGGTTAAGCGCCTGGCACGGGGCTGATAGGTCCTGGGTTCGAATCTCGCGGCGGGGTGCAGGATCGTGGATGCGCACTGCTGAGGAGTCCCATAATAGGACGAAACGGCCGTCCAATGCTTCCAGGTTTTCCATGGTGGTCTAGCTTCAATTGACTCATGGTTTCAACTATTGACATTTTTAAAATCATCACAAAACCCCTTCTGATATTTTCAATTTCCCAACACTAATTGATGTACAGTGTCTTTTGTCAAAGATCTAGAATAAGGTGAAATTTAAAAATAGTCAAAAGTCACTATTAGTCAACGTATTTCATCCTAAGAGTAAATAATAACCTGTTTCATGTGTTATTAGGATACTTCAGCAGTGAATATTTCAAGTTTGTACTTTGCCTCGTTAAAATAATTTACATTTTTTAAAAAATCCTCAATCAAATAGATCAAGAACTATCATTATAAAATCTATTGGAATTATTAAACCACCAGCAAATTTGTCATTTAGCTTTTTAGGTGGAAACCATAACTTAGGATGTATAAAATTTATTTATGTCATTAATTTAGTATATATAAGAATCTTGGTGATCCAATCTTGTTTGTAACATAATAATGACGTAAGAAGTAATGACATTGTTCAACGTCACAGCATGCCATTTATCTTGATAATGGTTTTGATACTTATCATATCATTTTGATAAAGAACTGAACATAGAGTTTTTCATGTGGTTTTTGCAAAATAAAATAGTTTTTTCTTACATTTCTACCAAGAAAAACGTTTATTATTTTAGTAGTGAGTTTATTTCCTTTGATGAAGCAAACAACACATACGAGATACTTTTTCTCAAAATTGTTAGACAAGACAATATTAATCACTATGGCATATTACTGACAAGTGAATAAATGGGAACGTATTGTAAATGAATGAATAAAATAATTTTAAAGAAACTAATTGTTACTGCTTTTCAATGGAATGTTGATGAAGTTTAGGTATGTTTCTGTGATCAATGACACGATCGATGACATTATTACATTAATGATTAACGAGTTCTGCTTCATAAGACAAACACATTTAATTACTTAAATATATCCTTGAAAAGAATAATTTCTGATTACTCAGGAGGTCTCTTAATTTAAGTTGAAAAATAGACGACACTTGTTGAAATGAAGTGAGTTGTAAGTTGCTGAATAATTATGACATTCAAAATTGTACAGTTCAAAGAATGCTGCACTGGATTCTTTAACTGAATTACATTAAAAGCGTAGTATTTATGATCATCATTCAATACGTAACCACTGGTATATACGAGTTCCATTACGCGAACCTGCGTCATTCCAAAATGAAAAGCCTTGACTAGAATGGCATGAAGGTGGTCTGTTAAAATCTTTAATTGAATCACTCTGGAAGCCATAATCACCAAAATGGCATTCACCAATAGCATTTAATACACGTGTACTAGTAATTGACATTTGTTTAAGTTGATTCAAGCATTCATAAGGTATTAAATCTGAAATCGGTAGTTTACCTTTTACGTATATCGTTATACCATGTTTAACTGCTAAATGTCTACCAACGGATTTTTTTACTGTAGGTAGACTAAAGTGAACAAAACAATCAACCAGTGTGAAGTTGTTAGATTTTGTCTCAGTAGTTTTTGCTTCGCATAGCTTGTTTTCTGTTGATTTGTCTACATCTGTTTTTTCATAATGTTTTGAAGTTCTTCGAGAAGGATGATGGATTGTTGTTGCCTTGATTGACTTAATTATATGGCCAGCATTAATCAAACAGCTATATACTGTCATTTCATCTATGAACAAAACAGAATGGCATAATTAAAATATTTATGGTTGAAGATTTTAGGGAACATACCTAAAATGTTTATTATAATGAAACGTTTATTCTGAGCAAGTAAATATGAAACAGAAGAGATTTGTGGAGATTTTAGAAATTTCACTGATCGAAATCATGAGTCAGTTGAAGCTAGACCACCATGGTAAACCTGGAAGCATTCGACAGCCGTTTCGTCCTAGTATGGGATTCATCAGCAGTGCGCATCCACGTTCCCGCCACCCTCGAGATTCGAAACCAGGAACTATCAGTCTCGCGCCAAGCTCTAAACCAACTAGACCACTGAGCCAGCCGGCATCCAACAGTGTTAATGTCTAACTCCAACCAATCCACGAAGTTGCGCCACCGTACACCACTGTCATCAGTGAGTTTATATCTCACAACAGACCTGGTTGAACTCCACTAGTAACGGCTTCGAATCTCGCGGAGTGCGGGATCGTGGATGCGCACTGCTGAGGAGTCCCATACTAGAACGAAACAGCCGTCTAGTGCTTCCAGGTGGTCTAGCTTCAATTGACTCATAATTTCAATTTTTGAAATATGAAACTGTTCAAACTATAGAATTAACAAAATATCATTCGGGCATATTTATTATTATTGTCATTTTTCTGGAACTTATGAGTTATACTTTTTAAAATTTGGTTGATCACTTCTAAGTATTTGGCTATGAAATATAGAATTATATGTGTGGTGAGAATATTAGAAACAGATAATTGATTCCTAGAAAGTATGTTTATTTTTCATAATTACAATTGCCCAATCTTCAAGTCTGACTAAGCAACTTTTTAACCAGAAACATTTTTATGATTTTCAGAGAATGAAAAATAACAAACACCATAGTTATTCGATTGATAATTTTCTTCAAATCAAAATCTAAATACCATTTATTTAACCTAATGTCTTTATTTACATTATTTTAACTGCTGGTGTTTTTATATTCATATCATTTTCAAATAACCTACTATTTGAAAAGTGTACAAAGATTGGTAATCTTATTGACAGAATGTGTTTTGTGGAGATTTTTAGAAATTTTCACAGATTGAACTCATGAGTCAGTTGAAGCTAGACCACCATTGAAAACCTGGAAGCACTGGACGGCCGTTTCGTCCTAGTATGGGACTCCTCAGCAGTGCGCATCCACGACCCCGCACCACCCGAGGCTCGAACCCAGGACCTACTGGCATCCAACGGTGTTAATGTCTAACTTCAACCAATCCACGAAGTTGCGCTACCGTACACCATTGTCTTCAGTGAGTTCCTATCTCACAACAGACCTGGTTGAACTCCACTCGTAACGACTTCTCACTAGAACTCGAGAAGTGTCTCCTGAAGTCAGTCACAAGTGAGCATGTGATTATTATTATCAGAATGTGTTTTGTGGAGATTTTTAGAAATTTTCAACTGACTCATGAGTTCAATCTGTGAAAATCTTATTGACATAAAGCAACACAGAGGTTGTTTGTGCACTACATTAAAGCTTATCTATTTATCAAAACATTATTGATTCGTTAAGATATTTATCTAGTTTCTGAAGTGTTAAGGATGAAGGTAAATAAACAATCGAAATCAGTGAGATTCTTATCTTTAACTACTCTTTTTATTAGAAGCTTATATAATATCTTCAGTCATTTAGACTCTATGATTAAATGACAGTTGGCATAGGGACAATTAATTGGAAAACAGTACTGGGAAATTAAGTAAATAGGATGTTTGTAACAACTTCACTGGAATTACATGTGAATGTATATATTTTCCTAATCACATGAGTTTCTTTCAACGTTCTTTTCATCATGTATGTGTTGACTTTGAGAGTACTGTGCACAGAAAACAACTTACATGATAAATGTACTATAATGTTCATTGTTGTTAGTACATACAGAACTAACTCAACGACTCACATTAAACGTCTCTATGTATATTCTATCAGAGTAAGTGTTTGGATTCAAACATATTTAAAAAAAACTAAACGAAAAGCAGTTAATGGTGGTAAATTTTTATCATAGCTCTTTACTGATAAGTATGAGTTACAATTAATAATAAAGGTATAATAAATTAACTAAAATACTTATTAGTTTACAGTTATTAATGGGATAAGTAATGATTGACCATGATATAATACACTGATAAATGTTAGCAGAGTGATTGTGACATATGAAGACATTATTTAGTAAATAATTTGAAATATGTTATTGTTGAACTTATCAAAAATCTTTATACCTACTTTCCTTGACTCTTGGATAACGTCCTTGATCACTTATGATTATGTTCACGAAATAATCTTAAATTTAAAATACTGTAAACTCACGCGCTACTGACTAATTGACACTGAGTTGATGATTAGCTGTATTGATCATTAATAAGTGCACTTGTTAATTAGGTTCCAAAATTATCGTAGTTACAGTTTACAGTTCAAATCTTAAGTTTTGTTTTGTCATCCTAATATCGATTATTGAAGAAAATCGATTTATATTCTATTTATTTATTTCTGATAAGGTTCTGGTAAACACAGCGTAGGTATTAGGTGATAAATTAGAACATGAAAGACTCGGGAGTGAATAATCATCGACTAATTCTCAGAGTATTGTTTTTAATTATTTCTAATAAATCTTACGTGACTAGGTTTACATATCAGCAATTCTGTTGCATATAATTTTACACAATCCACTAACTGTAATTCGGTGTTATAAATTTTTATTATTATAAAGTTACTGAGCAGTATGCGTAATAGAATATTTAAGGTATCGTATACAGTTTTATAATAAAGAAACAGTTTATTTAAAGTACACATCAGACTTCTCCTTGACTACAGCAAGGTCTTCTAATGCTTTGACGACTAACTTTGAATTTAGATAATCAGGAGAATCATTTCCTTTATTTACGCTTTTCTGTTGCATTGTAAACCATATTATTACTATCAAAGTAAAATTCTCAAAGCTATGATGATTTGACGGATATTAGTATACAGAGATTAAATTATGTCGACCATGAGAATTATTGATTCATTCTCCACACCATTAATTTGATATTCGGAACCAATCAAGTTTAATATTTTATGACGATAAATATCAGAATAAGTGCACATCATTGCGACAACGCATTTTCGATCCAACTAGTGTCGCATTTTATTTAAGAAGACATATTAGCTTTAATAATGAATCTAGGAATTAATTATTTACAAGACAAACCAAGTAAAATTCTGATTCGAACACAATATTCTCCATGTAACTACCTTGGTCGTGTATATTGTAAAAATGATATGGGTAAGAAAATTTCCTTAATGTGGCTACATAATTTATGTTGATGGAGTTTTGTTTTTTAAGCTGGACGGTTTGGTTGTGGAGCTTTCATCGTTCTTCTGAACGACATCATCAGCACAAACTTTGTGTATACTTTTATCGAAATGCGATTTCGTAAACAGTATGGATAAAAGATTAGCTTTTGACCTATAATTAAATCCATACCATAATATATATATATATATAATGAATTTTATAATTACTTACAAGCTCTGTTATTTAACGCATCGTTCAAGTTTTCAATTCTCCATCTTCCATATGAAAGAAATTGTAAATTTCTTATTTCATGTATTCGAATATTAACAAATCCTTTGCTTTGATTACGACATATTGAAATTAACATATCACCTGATAAACGTATTGCCTAAAAAATGTTGCAAATGTGATTGAATTATGCATGGTGACAAGTGAAATTATGGTGGTTTTTTTAAAAGTGGTACACAAATAAATAAAAATTTAGGATTGTATACAATTAATAGCAAATTCTAAGCTCGTTTTTGCTTCTGTGAGACATGCATTAAACTTCAGAAACTCATTGAGTGTCTTAAATGCAACAGGGTCCTCACGCGATTTTAAAATATTAAAGATTCCCATTGCGAAATAGAAACTTACAAAAGTAATGAATTGATAAGGCGAGAGGTGAAACTTTTTAACTAAAAATCATTATAATGTGTTTATAAACTTTGTCTGAATAATAACTATGTCATTTAAATGCGAACAAATATTCTGTGCCTTTACATTCAAGCTCCCTACCTTATAATAATTACAAGCCTATTGTATTTATTTACTTAGAAAAGTTTATTCTCTTGCATAGATTGTAATTCTTTTCAGATTTCTTTTTGTTAGTATGTATGCATCTATGTATCTTATACACTGATGTTTGATGATAGAAGCTGAGTCAATCTTAATTCAGAAACCTTGGTTGTGTGCTAATTTACATATTTGCGCACCAGGCGCACCGGACACATGAAACCTCATTTATTCTGTACAAATTGCAGATTCCGGGTTTTGAATTCACGTTATTATATTCATGATAAAAATCAAATGTGAGATATAGCAGTATATGCTATTTTCAATAATTGATATTAAAAATATCATGATCATTCAGAAGGTTTTTCCAACTACAAAGAGAGGTGAGTAGCCGAAGCGTTCCACATAATGCTAAATCCCTCTGCCCTCAATAAGAAGGAAGGCCTGAATATTCATCCAAAGTGAACAATTTATCCAAACAACGATATCTGACGTTATTTGTTTTCAACACAATCTACACACACACACCTAATTTCAACCCCACTATTTGATTTTACAAATGCTTACATTTTCTCATACCCACACTCTGACATACAAATTAATACAGTAACAGGTCATACAAAATCACCTTGACCAAGAATAACTTGACATTGACATATTCAGACCTATTATGATTTTTATTGTACCAAAAATATTCTACATTGTTTCCTTTCTACTACTACTATTCAAACTTGTAATAATTTCATTTCTGTTATTTATTTATTCTGAAGAAACAGTTAACATTAAGTCGCCACACGTCAGAAATACAAATTTCTACTCATTGCGACATAACGAACGAATATAATCATCATCATTGAGTTGCTATCTCACAACTGACCCAGCTGAACTCCACTGGTCAATGCTTCTCACTAGAACTCCAGGATATACATCTTGAAGCCAGTCACTAGTGAGCATATGTTGTCTAGTATCAGAAAGGGTTTTGTGGAGATAGTAGTAATTTCAGTAGTTGAGATCATCAGTCAACTGAAGATGGACCATCATGGAAAACTTGGAAGCACTGGATGACCGTTTCGTCATGTTGTGGGACTCCTCAGGAGTGCTCATCCTAGATCCTTCCCCTCACCACGAGATTCGAACCCAGGACCTATCAGTCTCGCGCGCGAGCGCTTAACCTCTAGACCACTGAGTCCAACAAAATGTTAGATTTGTATATCTTGAATATCTTTATGGTGTGATTGTGAATAAGTTATTTAAGGTTCGCTCAAAACTTTTCAGATTGATTAGCTAGTGTGATCTTCTTTTCCGTTTTGAATGCTGCACATTTTAGAAATACATGAAGTTCTTCAACTATTCATTTTCCTTCGATATTAAAAAGACCTTTTTGAATTATTTATACTTTCTAAAATCAAATGGATCCATGTTGATAAAGTAGTTTCTATTGTCTCAAACCATGTTGATATGAATCATATTTCTTTTTCTATATGAAGTTTGAATCACAAAACTCATTGATGTTTTTATGAATGGTCAATATTGTTTTGTTGTTGTATTCCCGATAATTCTTCTAATAGAAAAAGCCATTATTCATCCATGGGATTTCTTTTAAGAATTTTTAGATTAATAAATGACTGATACTTATTTACGCCTGTTACCCCCAATGAAGCATAGGCCGCCGAACAACATTCTACAACACATTCTGTCCTGGGCCTTCCTTTCCAGTTCTATCCAATTTTTATTCACCTTTCTCATGTCTGTCTCCACTTCCCGGCGTAATGCGTTCTTTTGTCTCCCACTTCTCCTTTGGCCTTGGGGATTCCAAGCGAGGGCTTGTCTTGTGACACAGTTGGGTGCTTTCCTCAATGTATGTCCTATCCACTTCCAGCGCTTCTTCCTGATTTCTTCCTCCGCTGGGATCTGGTTTGTTCTCTCTCACAGTACGTTGTTGCTGATAGTGTCTGTCCAACGGATCCGAAGTATTTTGCTTAGACAAATGTTAATAAACACCTGTATCTTCTGGATGATGACTTTTGTAGTTCTCCAGGTTTCCGCCCCATACAGTAGAACTGTCTTGACATTTGTATTGAAAATTCTGACCTTGGTGTTGGTTGACAGTTGCTTTGAGTTCCAGATGTTCTTCAGTTGTAAATCTGCTGCTCTTGCTTTGCCGATCCGCGCTTTCACATCTGCATCAGACCCACCTTGTTCATCAATGATTCTGCCCAGATATGTAAAGGTTTTTACATGTTCCAAATCTTCTCCATCAAGTGTGATTTGATTGGTGCATTCTGTGTTGTATCGGAGAATCTTACTTTTCCCTTTGTGTATATTGAGACCTACTGCTGCTGAGGCTGCTGCTACACTGGTCGTCTTTACCTGCATTTGTTGTTGCGTGTGTGATAGAAGAGACAGATCATCTGCGAAGTCTAGATCGTCCAGCTTCATCCTAGCTATCCACTGTATCCCACGCTTTCCCTCAGATGTTGACGTCTTCATGATCAAGTCGATCACTAGGAGAAAGGGGAAGAGTGAAAGTAAGCAACTTTGCCTGACACCGGTCTTTACCTCGAACGATTCTATCAACTGTCATCCATGCACAATTTTGAAGTTTATTTCATCATAATAAATGACTGCTCGTCATATTTATATGAAAATTATGAAATTGCAATGTAATTAAATCATTTCATTTCTTTTATTTATCTATAATTGTAACAAATAAAGTACCACCTTACAAAACAATTAAATTCATTAGACAAATGTTTATTAAACTTATGTGGTAATTTGAAGTTGGTATACCAATGTCTACTAGGTTAAAATTGATACTAGATTGAATGATCCAGTTAGATTTTAAGAACTTTTTCTGTTTAATACATATAGGTTGTTTTCGAAGTATCAGTCAACTATCAAACAAAATTTTATCAAGATTATCAAATACATAGTAGATAAACAAAGTTAGTTCAAATAATGTAAATTAGTGATGACTGAAATGGTTACAATTTCTTCAACATAAAACAAACTATATGTCATAACTGTTTTTAGGTATTTACATATATTATTTGTTTAATGTGAATTATAGAAAAATCTTTACGATGGTTTATCATAATCATAGGTAAATTGTACACTTGTTTTGTTTATTGATTAATCGGCTGAGTTTAGCTATTACTTAACCCTAATTTAAAGTATTTTCATAAACCTAAAAATGTTAGATTCACCTGGTATTGTTTGGTTTGTATCTTCCTATTGAGGTTGAAGACTGCAATTGAGCAGTCTGTTATCGGCATATGTGCATACTGTGCGTGTGCCTCGATATTGCCTTAATTCACAAACTTTTTGTAAGCAAAGATGGATAGTCTAGCAGTGGAATCTAGGACGTGCGTTTCGTCCTACTTGGGACTCGTCAGCTAGGTGGATCTGCATCTAACAGTTGATGTTTACTCCGGGACTCCAACCTAGTACTGTTTGCTTCAAACGCTATCGCGCTATCCACTTGGGACGAAACGCGCGTCCTGGATTCCACTGCTAGCCACTATCTTTCATTGGTTACAAAAAGCTTGTGAATTAACTTGAAATGTTAGTCTTAAATGCAACTGTGAAGAATCATTATTGTAAATAACAACAATAGAATTAAAAATAGTTGAAATATCATTCTAATATTTCATTTCCAATTTTATTTTACATACAAAAGACTCATCAGATGTTGAAAAGATGTCTACCTGGTGACAGATATACCACAATACTCAATAGTTCAAAATATATAAAACAAAAAAAGGAAATTCTCAATATCCAATGATTAGTATAATAATGAATTGAATAAGCAAACAAAAATATCTTAATATAGTGGCGTTGATAGAAATAACCTTTTGAAATGTTAGAACAATACTTTTCAGTAAAATGGTAGAATGAGATAGCTATTATTTTGAGATGGTGGAGATTTATAGCTCAGGTGGATGATTTGATCACGACCAAACCATCCAGCATAAAGAAAAAAATCCATCAAAAAGCTATCATTTTATTACAATTTAATTAACATGCTACAATAATAAAAATTACTTCATATTTACAAATGTGGATTCTATAACTTTCTCAGTTTGTGAATATCTTGACAGTAGATATCTGTTAATTATCAATCAAGAAACATTACAGTTACTTAGGGATAAATTATACATTATAAGATGAATAGTTATATTAAAGCTCTATCGTTATTTCTTTGACCAAAGGATCTAATACCGAAAACCATAACTGAAGTGAAACAAATTCTATCAATTATCATTAATATTGCTTTAATCATTAATAAATTTTCTTTAGAAATCTAGAGTTGTCAAAAGAAGTGTTAATAAAATCATCAAGCTATTGAATAAGAAAAAGAGAATTCAGCGAAGAAAAGTTTTCTTTTCGACGAAATCATTTACTTAAGCTATACATTCGTATATATATAGTAATATGGAAAATATATATGTCTATAGGAGGACAGAAAAGATTGCATCACAAAAATGAATTCGAGAATAAATAACAAATGAGGTTACGTACTAATCAAGGAGTAAGGAAGAAGATAATTTATCGTTGAATAAAACATTTTACGAAGCTAAACTCCGAATTGTTTTCGCTAGACGACCTACCATTTGGGGATGTGTTAAGGATAAACTTCCGCTTTGGGCCACATCAATGTGTATGTATAAATTTACTTGCTCGTGTGGAGCACGTTACATAGGCTGCACAAATCCATCGCCGTCCAAACGCATCTCGAAACACTATCGGGCTTGGCTTTTAAGAGGAGAATGCAAAACAATTACTAGTTCGATACAGGAGCATTTAATTAACTGTTGACACATCGCTCCAAACGACTCTTCTTTTAAAGTAATCTACAGAGTCAAAGGAACTGGATCGAAGGGGGTGGCTTGGATCAATAGTTTATGCACTGAAGCCTGGACTTTGCGTGCAAAAACGATTTGTCCAACCTTTCATCCTTCCTTGGCCCTAATTCCTTTAATGGGTATGTTTCTGGGGTTTTGTTTTCTGCTTGTTTTTCTGCACTTTTATTTGAGTATTAGTGAATTTTTTAAATTACTGTTTTACATTTAAAACTCTAATGAGTTATTATTATTGCTACCTTATGCAAGTTTTCTTGCATATTATTCAGTCTATTATTATGACCTTTGTGTTAGTCGCTTTTCTTCATATCTGTCGATTAGACCCATGAGTTATTTTCTTCTTTACCCCTTGATTAGTACGTAACCTCATTTGTTATTTATTCTCGAATTCATTTTTGTGATGCAATCTTTTCTGTCCTCCTATAGACATATATATTTTCCATATTACTATATAAATACGAATGTATAGCTTAAGTAAATGATTTCGTCGAAAAGAAAACTTTTCTTCGCTGAATTCTCTTTTTCTTATTCAATGACATTATGGGTTATTTTAATCATCAAATTATTATCACTTCATTTATATTAATAGTTCAGTTTTACAACAAACTGTTTATGATTTTTTGCAAAATAAAACTATTTAAGACGATATAAACTGATAGGATCTTTTCATGGTTTAGGATTGATAACCGAATTTATATACTATAAAATAAATTAGATTAGTGTAGGGAAGTTCAAATAATGACTCGTATTGACAACGAACTTGTAAATCAGACAAAAAAACTTCTAAAACTCAATTATTCAACGGATGGATGGAGCGCTTGTTAGTTATTATTTGATTGTTATCATTTCTAGTTTTCGATGCCAATTTCAAGGTATAATACAATATATTTATACTTCAATATAAAGTTTATATTTGCTCCTTATCGATACTTAAGTCCGTTTTGTTGATAATGATTCAACGTTTTCTAATTAAGACATCAATCCGTCGGATATCTTGGTAGTTAGATCTTTCTGATAAAAATATATATAATTTTTTATTATTGAGATAAATTTATTCCTTGAAAATCTTCCTAAATTATTGTGTGGTTTTTACTTTAAAGTATTATTTAGTTAACTATGACCACTAAATATTTCAAACTTTTTACAGGTAAACCTAATCAATCTATACCAGAAATTATAATGTTGAAGTGTCTACTAGTTCGTTAAAAGTGATCATGAAGAAATCAGACCCGTTTTGTAAAAAATCAATAACTTACTGGATAAGCTTCTTCAACTAGACACCATCCGATGTGTTCAAATTCCTTTTGACCGTTCGAAAGTTCTTCTGTTGACATACTACAAGATCCGTGATAATATTCTTTATCACCAGACCACTTAGGAATGGATTCGAAAATTTTCAATTTTATATGTAGTTTTGGTGCTTCAATATCATGTGCTCCAGTTAAGATTGAACATCTTCTTACTGGTATATTCATTGAAATCTCATTATGATTTAAAAACTGTGGACAACCGAATTCGGTTTCCTTACTGTGAACAGTGAATGTTTGAGTAATTTCTTTATTAGATATAGTACAGTAAACACAAAAAATTGTTTTATGCCATAAGCGAGGAGATAGCAGATTTTTACCTGTGTGCAGTGTGACTAAGATTTGATCTTGATTACTACTAACATGTGAAGAATACTTTACACCGATAGCCATAATCCCAGCAGGGAATTTGATCCAGTCATAAGTGATAACAGGTGGAAGTCGTTTATACATAATTTTCTGTTTATCAGTATCCGTATCCAGTAATATAGACTCGTTTGTTTGCAGTCCACTGAAAAACGAAGATGAGCTTACTATCTTGTTTTGTATTTCAGCAGATGGATGAAAATGCTTATCATCATCAGTAGGTTCTTGTTCCTCTTTGCCATTGACCTCGACAGCTGTAGAATAAGACAGAAAGCTGTTTCGACGAGTAAACTTTTGGTCTTCTAAAAATAACCCTGGAGTACTCAATGTATGTATATCATCATTTTTTAAGTTTAGGTTACCATCTAGCTCAGCTTGAGTGTCAGTCACAGTTATGGATATCGGAGTATCTAACAATCTTTTAGATTTACCTAAACGACTATCGAGAAGCTCATAGTCCGTTGCTGAAGCTCTACGTGTAACTATGGGGACAGCAAGACATATATCCCCTTCATTTGGAGCACAGCACTTTGTATCATCAGTTGATACTGATGTTTTACGACTACTATTTCGATCGAGAGAAGATTGATTAGACAAAATTGAAAAATGTTGTGGAATATCCTGTGGTTCCAACTTCGAAGCTATTACTGACTTGATTAATTCAGAAGAATTTTTCTCACTACCGGCTAAATGAGAGTGATGGATAGAGAGGTTGCTTCTTAACAAGCTATTTGAATCCAGCGGCTTAGAATATCTCCTCTGATCAGAAAATACAAAACTATCAAACATAGACTTCTTTCTAAACTGATTTTCTTGTGGGTGAAATGGTAAATTAATACAACTTCCTTTTCGACTTCTATCTTTGTGCAATACTGTTGTCGTTCCATATAGTTTTTCAGGTTGAAATCGTAAAGGTAATGATGGTTGTTCATAGGAATTTTCACTTTTTTTGTGAGCGAAAAATTTTGTATGTTTTAACGAAGTTTCACTATCATTTACAGAGTTTATTGCAAGCGCTTCGACAGCAAAACAGAAATAATGTAACATATAATCTTTCATTTCTAATTTTGATCTATTTGATGAATCTAATCGTTTATGAATAGAACGTCTTCTTCGAAGAAACCATGCTGTATGTGTTAAAGCTGTGGCTAAAAGTATCAACACAATGGAACATAGTAAAATTGCTCCAAGTACAAATAATACAATTTTAACTACTGAACTTTTAAACCAAACCATTTCTGTCATTTGATCATCATTTATTTGTACTGTATCGATTGCTTCATTTAATGAATTCTGTGTAAGTGGCATACTTCATTTATTTTGATTTTGATTTATTATAATCATGAAACAAAAAGAAACGAACAGATTAATGGTTAATATATGGAAATTCTTAGTTATTTATTTATTAATAGACAGTTATTTCATTACAAAATAAATATTGAATCAGAAGGGGTTTGTGGAGATTTTCGATTCTAATCTGTGAAATTTCTAAAATCTCCACAAACCCCTTCTGATAATAATCATCTACTCACTAGTGACTGACTTCAAGAGATACTCCTGTAGTTCTAGTGAGAAGCCGTTACTAGTGGAGTTCAACCAGGTCTGTTGTGAGATATAAACTCACTGATGACAGTGGTGTACGGTAGCGCAACTTCGTGGATTGGTTGGAGTTAGACATTAACACCGTTGGATGCCGGCCGGCTCAGTGGTCTATTTGGTTAAGAGCTTGGCGCGAGACTGATAGTTCCTGGTTTCGAATCTCGAGGGTGGCGGGATCGTGGATGCGCACTGCTGATGAGTCCCATACTAGGACGAAACGGCTGTCCAGTGCTTCCCGGTTTTCCATGGTGGTCTAGCTTCAACTGACTCATGATTCCAATCTGTGAAATATGTAATCATAAATAATTTCATCTACACTTGAAATATAAAATCTGCTTTATACAGTCGTTAATATGTAATTATCACCTGGTCGTTCTGAATTTATTTATTATCTTAGCTGATTATAATATACAACAAAAAGTTAACACGGAAAGCTGAATAAGATAGTTTATGGAGAGAGGTAAATGAATTATATGATCTCATTACTTCAATAAAATGTGGTTTTGTATAAATATTTACAATAGTCAAACATTTCACATTTTCTTTTTACTTAAAAATTTATTATATATTAAAGTTTGAATACTATGTAAGGTAATTCTTATCATAAATCCAATATTTCCTACAAAATAATATAATATAATCAAAATAAAATATGAATGGAACTACAAAGATCGATTTCTATGAAATGGTGAAGATTTGTAGTTCAGGTGGATGATTTTGGTGGAGTTTTATTCACCGAGTTGGATGGTTTAGTCATAGAGCTTTCATCATTATTCTGAACGATATCGTTAACATGAACTACAGGTAGTAGTGTAGTGTTTGAATTTCTCCATATATGGCTCATACCTTGTTATGTAGGCCTCCATTTTGAATGAATCTTGTTGACCTTTAATCTGTCATTGTTTACATCTTTTTGATTGTATCTTCCATCGATTTTATTTTTGATCCTAAAGGTCAATAGTAACCAATCAACATCGAGGTCTACAGAACAAGCTGTCAGCCATGTGTAGTGAAAACCAAACACTACACTACTACCTGAAGTTTATGCTAGTGATATCGTTCACAAAAGCGATGAAAGATCCATGACCAAGCCATCTAACACAGAAAACAAAACTCTGCCAAGGCCAATTTCTATCTTTATTTGTTTAAAATTAATGAATAATTCATGCCATTTAAGTGTTTTGTTATATTCGCAATTCAAAAATCAATATCTAGTAAGTCCGTAAAAAGTTATTCCTGGTGTTTAATTTCTAAATAGAAACGTTATTTAAATTGTATTTCTTGTCTGCTTAAATATACTATAATTCACTTTCTTTGACTTTTATTTTGCTCCCTTATGAACTAGCTAATTTAATTAACTAATCAGTGATATTGTAGCTTCGAGATCGGGTTTGTATATTTTTATAATTTTCTTAAGTTTCTATCCACATGATTTCATGAAGTCGCATTATATTTTTCTCTCCTCTCTCTCTCTCTATATATATATATACATATATATATATATATATATATATATATATATATATATATATATATATATATATATATATAAACTAACAATGAATCGTATAAAGTAGTATTTATCTACCATATCGAAAAGATGAATCAATATAATCATCCCTTTTCCATGTAATATAACAGTTGGAAACAAATTGGCTATTTTAGACTGCAGAGTACTGCAGAGAACGTAATCAATACAGAACATGAATCAAATCAATAATATGACATGATAGATATACAAACTTTAATTCTGTTCTCGTCATCTCCACAGCTTTAATAAATACAAAATGGTACAAAAACAAATTGTGTTTATATTAAATAATATCAGAATTTAAAGGTATTTTGATTATGTTTTGTCAAAAAAATTAACTGTAGAACATAAAAGAATTAGATCACAATAATATTAGATTTTAATCAGTTAATCACTACTAATGGAAATGATATTTTAATTTGTCTTTTATATTTCTATTATTTGTTAATTGTTTATCAGTAGGTAAAGTGTTATGGAAATTAAGACACCAATAAACTATGTGTTCAGTGAGGTCCCCAAATACCCTGGTACAGCCGAGGTTGGGGAGAGTCAGGTCTCCCTTTCGAAATGCTCTTACACGGCAACGCGTATATAGCCACTACCAGGGAAGTCCTACTTAATGTCTTCTTGCGGCGCAGTTGTTGTTTACTGAATTGAAAGAACGAAAAGCCAATGTTTAGCGTTTTAACTGGGTCAGAGGATACGGCGGGTCCAGCTATGAAGTTGGAAAACCCTGATTCCATACCAATGGTGGACATGAACTCCAGGATCCTGGGGGAATAAATGGCGTATGAACCAATTATTGGTCACCGGCAATCATGAGACTGAATCTCCTGACGTCGCTCGACTGTCTTGTGGATCAAACCTTTAGGTCGAAAGCTCCGGGTGTGACCCCCTAAGAAAACCATTTGCTTCGGTTTGGGCGTCCGAGCAGTATCATAGCCCACAAACAAATGTAGTGACTTGTGTGGAACATATGTATTCGGCGCCCCTTTGTACCAGTATTTATGTGTTTAAATAAATAATAAAATAATAAAAGAAGTGATCAATGTGATCTAAGAACTCAGGCTACACAAATAAGCTGAAAATTCAAAGATATAGAATCTTTTGTTGTTATGGAAGTAATTTCTAACTGTTTTGGTTTACTAAATTATGTTTAGCTTATTAGTGGCACAGTCATATACTTAATTCCCTTGATAAATGTCTATAAAATAAGAACAAGGAATCCAGTGTGCTGAAGCGAATTCACTCAAATTTGAAACATTTTACGCGTACATTAACAATAACGAGAAGTTTTGTAGGTATGATTATGTGTGAAACAGGCATGTAGTGATTCAGTTAACTGGTAAGAAATAATAGCCTAAGTTAATGTTTCCAAGAAATCATGAAGTAATCGACTACAAAGAAATCTTATTAACATGGCGAATGAAGTGATGAATTAGATAGTTACTACGAAATCAGTCTTGCTCAAATGATCAATAATGATAATAGTGAGGAAAGTACTATGGACAAACAAAATTAAAAGTTTTAATAAAGTTGTTTTGTATACATTGTGAAATTTAACTCTTACTTGTTTCACAATTAGAGGCAGACATTAAAAGAAAGAATACCAGTTGAAAAAAAATCAAAAGGATTGCTCAACACAGAGTTCGATGGAGAATCATGGTCGGCGGTCTATGTTCCTATAATGGATGACTGGTGTAAGTAAGTAAGTCAGTGTCACCGTTACTAGTTGTTATAAATTGTTGTCTTAATGTTAAGTTGTTAAATGTCTATTGATTTGAATTAAAAACGGAATGAGCATTTACAATCTGATGTTATAATATATTCTGTTCATCTATGTTTGTACTCTGAATGTCAAACATATTTTAATAAAGATAATGGCTGGAACTGCTGAATGAAAGTAAGAGGAAAAAGTATTTTGCAAACGCTTAACACTGATACTGACTAGTTATATTTTGAAATCATTCTGGTTTGTTAAACAATCAAAATTTGGAATCAATCAATAATGAATATAAACAGAAGATATTGCATAACTTTACTGATACGTAATGATAATTGAAAAATATGTTTAGTCACTTAAACATAATTTAAACAAACATTCGTTTTGGACATTATTCAAGAACAAAAATGCCTTGAAGCAATAAGGTAAGCTAGATAATATGTATCTCGTACAGTATTAGGAGGTTATTAATCTGAGGAACCATTAGAAAAAATAAAAAAAATAATAGGAAGATAATAAACAAGAAGAATTTCTTCAAAATTTATATAATACAATTATAATAAAGATAACAGTGTAGCAAAACCCCTAAAAACTAGGTGATATTGAGTAGCATTCTGTTTAAGAGTTCTTATTAATCCGATTTGATTGTCTAATAAAATGTAACTCAGCTCATAGGTTCTAGGTATATCAGCAAAAACAGTATTTTTCGACTATTGAAATGCAATTCAACAGTTTGAGTTCAGATTTGCATTTAAAATGTGATATATTTCGATCTTGATTTTCCCCTTATCTACGAAATACTCCCATTTTTAACCTGGTTAATCATATTTTTAATTCCCGAGGTAGAACTTTGACAGAGATTTATGTTGAATTCAGCCTCTAATTAAGACGAATATTATTTTCATATAAATTATTTCCTATCGTGTCACTATATATATCTTCATTAGTAACAAAAACGCCGAAATGTATAAAACAATATTGACTATTTATTACCAACAATTCTCATCCATTCTAAGTTGTTTCATAAGACGAATGTAGCGTTCTCGATTAGTTTAAAAATCAAATCAATCTGATTATGATAACAAGTAAATCAATAAAATGTTGAACTGATATTTAAGTGAGGAAAACATAGTTAAAATTTTCTTTCTTTTCATACATATAGTTCCTTTTATTAGCTCAAAGAAGAGCAAGAACAAAGATTGTTGCAGAATAATATGAATTCATTTGATTTCGTCAGATCCTCATCAGCTGCTTACAAGCTAAAATATTTGAAAATCAACGTTATTATAGGTATTGACATATATGCATATAAGAGTGATTAGAGATGAATATGTGTATCATGATGTAATGAACATTCCCATAGAATTAATAAGTTCATAAAAATCGTTTGTTTCGAATAAATAAAGTTAGAGAGGAAAAGTTTCAGAACATTGAAGTAATAATGATCAGAACTCATGAAATTACCAAAAATGAGATGATCCAAAACAAATTTATTATGACCTCATTAACTCTATCGGAATCTTCACCACATCATGATATATATATTCATTTCTAATCATCCTCTTATATATAAGTATGTCAATATCTGTAATAACGTTGAATTTCAAATATTTTAGATTGTAAGCAACTGATGAGAATCTAACGAAATAAAATAAATTCATATTATTCTGCACCAATCTTTGTTCTTGCTATTTTTTAGTTGGTTATATCTTTTATTTGTATCTGTTATTAAGTTCTTTTAATAAACTAATAAAGATTTCAGATCAAGTAATAATAATAATAATAATAATAATTATTATTATTATTATTATTATTATTATTATCATTATTGGTATCATTACCAAGGTTTGATTTGATAATTCCGAATAAACTGAGCATTGGGTAGATTGTTATAAATAAGTAGTATATTTGTAATATCCCAACGAGTAGAAAAATTAGATTTTCTGACGTTTCGTGACTTAGTTTAAATCACTTCTTCAGAGAACAAATAACCAAATTAAAATTAATCCAAGTTTGAATAGTACAACGGAACAATAAGAATATTATGATTAATTTTATTCTGGTTATTTATTCTCTGAAGAAGTGACTTACACTAAGTCACGAAACGTCAGAAAATTTAGGTTTCCTACTCATTGGTACATTACAAATATACTACTTTTTTATATTATTATTGTACAAAATTTTAATTATAATTGTCACTTACCTTTTCATATGAAATGATCACAATTTCTAACTAATATCTCAAAGCATTGAATACTAAATGGAATAGATTTGAATAAAGAATTCTCTACAAAAGTAGTTTTTTTATGGTTTTTTATGTCTCATCGAATGAGGATGAATAGGATTACTTCATTTTATTTCTTCTCTAAATTAATGCAATGAAGGAATGGATTACGACATACTATTTTTTTTACTATAATAATAATTATGATCAAAATATTTTGTTTTACATAATCAATGTCCTCGTATATGGTGAACTGACTATTTCAGACAACCAATCAGTAAATAGTAAACTAAACAAATTCTAAAGCAATAGATAACTGTTAATACAATCATATTTACTATTGCGTGTCCGTACTTACTTACTCACAGATTCGTTCATTTTTCCATCGGTTATTTTGAGTTCATTCGTTTAAATTCATTCATATTTGGGCAATGTATACAGAATTAACAATGAGAAATAGAATAATATACATACACTCAAATAAATCTATATATATAAATACTACAAGATCGAAGTAAAAAGAGAACCAAAACCCACGCATGTAGATTTAGTTATTATTCCATGAATTAATGAATATTTATACAGTCAACAATGTAACAAAAATAGATTTTTCAATTGAATTTTCCTGTTTGTCTAATATGTTTTTACATACCGTTTGTTAGCATTAGTTAATTATAGTGCTGTAGGTTTTACTTTTCTTTGGGGGGGGGAGGAGAGAGGGAGGTTTCACCAATGTATTATATCCAACTTGGTATATTTTTATTTATAACTAGATAGCATTTTTTCCCCTTGATTATTATGACATGCGGAAGTTATTGAATTTATAAATCCATTTTTTGAGCTTAAAGAACATTTTTTTCGCGAGTGTATTTGGATGGAAATATCGACATATATCTTGTAATAATTTCAAATATCCATAGTTAATTCACATTTATTTTACATAATTTGGAAAGCTGTTTTGAAATTAAAATAGTTATTTTGTCGCAGACTTGAGACTGGTCATTATTGAACACGAATAAAGTTTTATAAGTTCAAACAAAGGACTCCTAAATGTCACAGGAAGTATGATTCATTAAGTAGAAAGGAGACAATTACTCACTGAAGGTTATGGATGCATGTCTCTATGATTCACAAATTAACCTGAGTTGAAAATATTTCTTGATATTGATCCTGAAAACGATATCTAGTCTCAGTGAATTTATTTTTTTGAACTGATGTCAGCTAGTGATGAAATTATGTTCAAATCTGAACAAATTTCAACCCAATGAAACTTCTGAACAGTACCTTCGTTATATATGAGTGAAAAGCGATTACAAATTCATATAACACGTTCACATATTTAATAGTGATCTAAAATATGACCATCGTCATATTGAACGTTCTGTATGTTTAGTAAGACATATGGCAGAGAACATAAAATATAATGGGCTAATCAACAGACATTTTGTTGTAAGGTAAATAGAATTATCCATTAATTATAATAAAATAAGTAACATAAAAGGGAAGAATATTTGCTCTAAATAACATCTCTTGAAGGTTTACGCTAATATACTCTCATATTTACCTATTGAGATTATGAACCAATCAATGTTAGACCACCATCGGAAACCTGGGAGCACAGGACACCTGTTTTTCCCTAATATGGAACACATCAGAATTAGTTCTCGGGGTTCTAGAGCAAAGCCATGACGAGTAGAGTTAAGTTGTGTTGGGTGTGCGGCAGTTACCACCGAAGACAATGAACGGACGGTTGGGCATGATCATAGACCGAATGAAGATAGACATTAACATTGTTGGATACCAGCTCAGTGTTCTAGAGGTTAAGCGTTCGTGGGAGAGACCGAAGGTCCTGATTTCGAGTCCCATATGTGGGATCGTGAATGAGCACTGATGAGGAATGACATGCGAGGACGAAATGGCTATCCAGTACTTCCGATTTTGCAACGGTGGTCTAACATTGATTGGTTCATGATCTTGATAAAATCTCAACCATCTCCACAACTCTTTACTTAGAATCTTTTTATATGTTAAGCATTAAAACAGTAAACATTGTTTGTGGATCTATGAAAATGATGACACACAATACATATAATTAAAAAAAGAACTTAAATCAATATAATTATAGTTGTAATAATAATTATACGTGTGAATAGGTCAAAATAAGATATACTTCAAATTTTCAAGGAATCCTACATCTTGAGAAAGTTCAACTTATTATTAATTCGTCATTAGCATCTTGGATAACCATATAATCAATCGGAATATGAAACGGAAAAATATCGGTCTAAGTGATGACTATCCTCTGGGAATTATTAATACTACTTTTTATCAAATATTAACTGGTTAGAAGTCTAGATTGGCACTCTATCGCCAACGTAATATAAACAAAAATTACGTACATCATAATAAAAGACAAGTTGGTTTTCTTTGACCAAACACTACATTAAGATTCTATAAACCTATTTTTGGATGTGAATGCCTGATTTCTTGAAAAAAATCTTTAAAGCTGGAATATCGTTGAAAAGGGTATTTTAATAGTTTCAGTTTGGAATGTACAGGAGGCTTGACGGCCTGTGTTCGTCCTGGAAATGGTGGTCTCTCGGTTGATCCAACTTTCTTTTGAAAGAGTCAACGGATGGAGCCTCAACCACGTGCTGGGGTAGTGAATTCTACTCGTTGATGATTCGATGGGAAAGTCGATAGCCAGCCAACATGTGATTTTGTTCTCGGCTTGTGAACGTTTTTGGAGTGTCCTCGTAAATTTTGTGTTTCGGAAGACAAGAAAAATGAGGGCATTTCAGGTGCAAATTTATCACTAAGCAATTTGAAGACTGTAATCAAGTCGCCTCTAGTTCTGCGATATGACAACGGGAAAAGGTTCAGCTTGGCCAGTCGAACTTCATACGGAAGCTTCGCTATTCCGGGAATCAGCTTGGTTGCTGTTCTATTAAGCTTTTCCAAAATATCGCTGTCTTTTTTTGGCTGGGGCTAGCCGATTGTATGCAGTATTTAAGTTTAGGACGTACGAACACTGCATACAAAGTCAAAAACATTTTAGCGTCAACATGACTAAAAGCTCTTCGTATTGACAATAAATTTCTAAAACCTCTGGCGGCTATTGCACGGCAGTGTGCAGTAGTCTCTAAGTCTTGGCTAACGATGACTCCTAAGTCACTATATGTCTGGACGACAGGTAACTCAGTGTTATTCATTGTGTATGTATCTGCACCTTGATGACCGATATGCATCACAACACACTTGGAAGTATTTATCGGCAACTGCCAGGCTTGAAACCATTCAGACATTTTCTTCAGGTCATTTCGGAGTTCTAAGCTATCACCCTTACATCCTATCGTTTTCCATATCTTGATATCGTCAGCATATAGCAAGACTGATGATGATAGGAGACGAAGAAGGTCATAAATATCATAAATATCTTAATGTCATCAACCAAATGATCATAATTGACCATTATTGTGAAATCTGTAGTACAAATACGAAATGTATCAAAACTTTCACTACTACGTTACATAAATAGTGATAGACAAATTCGAACTAATGATAATTACACAATGGAAGTGGGTTTTTTTTCTGTCAAGATACTTATTAACTAAACCTTCCTTTTAGTCAAGTGAAGTATTAGATAATCATGGACATTTCAAAAGCGCGTAAATTGCATTTATAATTATACAAACATGAAGGAACTGATCATCCTCTTAATGAAATTTAACATTCACCTAACGGTTACGAATTACATCCAAATCATTAAAAAAGCTTGAATATCATATAGACTTTTTGGTAAAAATTTTAAAGACATACATAATCAGTGAAATGTCAACATCAATTGTAAATTGTTCATCTTAGCTGTGGTGGCTTACCCTCACAAAGGAGCATAGGACGCCCACAAGAATTCTCCATCCAATCATGTCCTGAAAAATCATCTCCTGCTCTTTCCACTTGTCATTCATTCTTTTCATATCTGCTTCGATTTACCAACGTATTGGGTTATTTGGTCTTCCACTTTTTCGTTACTCTTCAGCATTCAAAGTTAGGGATTGCCGCGAAACACAGTTTGGTGATTTCTGTAATATATGTCCTATCCATTTCCATCGTCTCTTCCTAATTTCCCAATCACATGGAAACTGGTTTGTTCTCTCATACAGCACACTGTTGCTGATGGTATCTGGTCAATGAATGTTGAGTATCTTGCATAGATAATTGTTCATAATTACTTGTACCTTCTTGATGATGGTTGTGGTAGTTGTGCAAGTTTCAGCTCCATACAGTAGAACTAACTGTCTTGACGTTCATATTGAATATTGTGATTTTGATATTAGTTGACAGTTGTTATGATTTCCATATTTTGTTATGTGGTTTCCGTCAGATGTGGAGGTTTTTATAATCCATTCGACCACCAGAAGAAAGAAGAAGGGAGAGAGTAAACAGTCTTGTCTGACTCCGGTCCTTACTTGGAATGCATCTGTCAGCTGTCCTCCATGCACCACTTCTCAGTCACATCCGTCGTATGAATTCCGTTTGATGTTGACGTTTTTCTCAGGTATATCATAGTGTAGAGGAAGTTTCCATAATGTTCTCCTATCTACACTGTCAAACGTCTTCTCATAGTTAATGGAGTTGATGTATAGTGACGAGTTCCATCCAACTGATTGTTCGACGATGATCCGTAATGTCGCAATTCGGTCTGTGCATGACCGATCCTTATAGGATTCGAATTATTGATCTCGAAGTTGGGCGTCTACTGCTTCAGTGTTTCTGCTGGTATAACGTCAGATCCTGTTGCTTTCCTACTCTTGATATGTCTGATGGCCATCCTGATTTTTTTGATCGTTGACGGAGTGACATTTATCGGAAGGTCTGTATGTGGTGCTTTAAAGTCCTGTGGACTCAATGGAGCTGGTCAATTTAAGAGTCCCTCAAAGTGTTCTACCACCTGTTTCCCTCTTCTTGAATCTCAATAATTAGCTTGCCTTCTTTGTCCTTTGCCGGCCGCTCTGGTTTACAATCTTTCCCTTTCAGTTTCTTCATCATGTCATATAGTTGTTTCATATTTCCATCCCCTGCTGCATTTTCCGCTTTCGTTGATGAGTATTCCACGTAATTGTGCTTGTCAGCTCTAATGCTCTTCTTCACTCGTTTGCTTCAGTGTATTCAGCTAGTGTCTTGAATTTCTTGTTCGACTGTCGTTACTTGCTGTCTTCTTGTTCTTCCTTCTTTTTATTAGGGTTTCGATCGCGATCTATTCCTTATGATAATGCTATTTGCAGCCTAGAACCTCCTGACACATTGAAGTTATTCCTTCTTTGACCCTATTCCAGTTATCCTCCATAGTAGTTTCTTCTTTCAGTAGATCTAGTAAGACTAGTGGGTTGATTAGAATCAAAATCATTTGTAAACTAACATGTTCTTTTAATTTAAGGTATATATGTCTAAATCAAATCTAGTTTTTATGATTTTAAAACATTTAGAAATTTGGTAGAGAATATTCATTATTCATACTTGTCATTGAGTGA